ACATATGTATATATGTCAACTTTTAGAAGGAGGTTCACTGCTTTCGAATCTTAAAAATCGATTTTCTCAAGATTCTGACGTGCTACAGTAATACACCGAGATGAGTATTTCTTTATTTTAATCCTATTTTCATATTCTGTTTTTTCATGTGTATTCAAATAAAATTTTATTTTGTTTTAAAGGGTGATTTTTTAGAGCTATAGGAAAGTTTTTAAAAAATAAAAAAAACCTGGAAACTTCAGACAAAGGCATGAAATATCTATTTCAATCGATAGTACAGTCCATATAATATAATCTTTGAAGATTATTTCACGCAAATGTAGACCGTGACTGCACCCTGAAATGGTATATCCGCTTAGTCAGATTTTAGCATACTCTTTCCAACATTTTGATTGGTATCTCACGAAAGAATGCTTCAACTATGCCCTCCAATACGTCAATTGAACATAGCCCCACGGCTTGGAACTTTAACAAGATTTGATTTGGCAAAGTAAAGTTTGAAACTCTTCTAAACTTTACAGAAAATGGATAACTGTAATTTCACACAAAATCAAATAAAACAAGGAACAAACTAGGGAAATTATTCCCTGCCTTACCTGACGACGCATATAACAAACTATGCTTTCATGAATTTTTTTTTGGTATGATTCGGTGTGTTTTATATATGTATGTATGTCGATTGATATATTAAAAAATTTAAGTGGTATTATACCGCAAGAAAAATGGAATACATTGTAATAATGTTGATATAAATTTGTCTTGCAACAATACTTTGCAAACTCTGACACGCTTTTCGTGCAAATAAGTTGCTTTTCAGTGAAATGGCTTAAACGGATCAAAAAAATAAGTAATATAATGTTTAAAAAAAAAATAATAATAAGCGCAAAAAACTTGCGTTCCGATGTCTGCTATAGGTGGTGGGTTTTCTCCGAGTACGCCATTCACTGGAAGGGAGTCCTTGAAGATGTTGACTGACTCCTGTGCTCCCTGCGATAGCATCCCAATAGAAACTGCTTGCACAGCAAAGCATTATGCTTCTTAACTCGTAGCATAGATGCTTCCCTGTGCAAGTAATGCTCCGGCGACATCAGAAGGCTTCCTGCCCCAGTCCTGAAGGCGGTGTTCTGGCAAGCCTGTAGCTTCTTCATCTGCGTCTCGTTCGTCCCCGGTGCCGGCTAGCGCTTTGAGTTTTTTGTTGCGGCTCTGGAGTTTCGTGGCAATTGCGGTCGTATGCGGAGTGCAGGCTGTCTAGGGTTACTCCCAATATTTTTGGGTTATTCACCGTCGGAATTTTTGTGTCATCGACCTTCACATCTAGTTCAAGCCTGTACTCCTTCGTCCAGCTGGTCGAGAGGGTAGCCGAGGATTTCGTAGGTTGTATTCTTAGCTGTCTTGCAGTGAAGAAGTGGGAGAGATCAGCGAGGTAGCTGTTCACTTTCGAACAGAGGTCATCAATATCCTGGCCAGACGCCATTATCGTACAATCATCGGCATAAGAGGTTAGGGAAACTCCTTCTGGTGGTGGAGGGAGTTTCGAGATGTAAAAAATAAACAGTAGCGGGGAGAGGAAACCACCCTGCGGAACCCCCTGTTTAATTTTCCTGGGTTTATATTTAACACCTCGGAATATTACCGATATTGTCGACCACTCAGGTAGCCCATGACCCACCTCTGCGACCCCGGCGGTAATGAGGATTCCTCAATGTCCCTTAATAGCACTGAGTGATTGTTCTGGGCTGTTAACAAAGCCAAATGAAGGAACTTTATACAGCTGACCGCCAAGAAGCCTCAGTTCCACTTAGTTAATAAAAAAACGTCATTTTTCCTCTGAAAAGCAAATTCATGTCATAAAATAAATTTTGCATTAAGCGCAGCAAATTTGTGTTTTTTTGTTAAAATTAAGAAAGAGTATTAATTGTATTTGTTGAAGTCAAATATAGCTGTCAATGTTCAAAAGCATTTCCGAAATGGAAACTTTTTCATCGAAAATGGTATAAAAAATGTGGTTTTTAGAGTGCTCTCACGAGATAAAGAGTTTGGTATCATGTTATCTCTGAAGCGCAGTTTGTTTTACTGATACATTTCGGAACATGATACATCGTAAAAATTTGTACAGTTACATTTAGGAATGCGTAACAATGTCAAAGATAATATGATACAAAACTCTTTATCTCGTGAGAGCGCCGAAAAATGTGCATTTTTTGAAACATTTTTATACCTTGCCACTACGGTGAAACTACAGTTGGGTACAATTGAATAAAAACTTTGAGGAAAATTTCTGACGTTATAATTAGTCATTAATTTACTTTGCATACTCTAAAAATCCAATTTTAATGAAAATAGTGAAAATTCTATCGGAATAACTCATCCTTAACTTAATAGATATATTTTAATCCACTGCTATTGTTTATTATTCTATTCATGCCTCGCAAGAAATCTGTTATTAAATATTTTTAGAAACTATTTACTCCTATTTATTAAAAAAAAAAGCCTCTTAAATTGTAATGTACATCTTTCAACCTGATATTTTTTGAAAGAATTTAAAACATTTGTGGGCTTGGGCTCTTGTTCTTTTGCCAGCAAAGCTATTTTGGACACTTTTGTTATAACTAGGTATAACTAAAGTAAACTTCTGCTGAAATTAAACGCACCAACTTTAAACTTAGTTTTTATCAGAATGTGTATGGTAGCTCCCATTTTTAATTCGCAGCTGACTGTTGAGCCTCGACCTTGTAGTTTGAGCTTGCAACAAAACCTAATCGAGGCCCAAAGACAATAGATAAGTGAGTAAGTTTTATATATTATCTTTAATATGATTGCTTTACCACTGACGATTTGGAACTAACCTCCACTTCCACACATACCCCTTCAAGAACGGGCTGATGGGTTCGTAAATACACTCACACAATTTCGAGCATCACTAACACAGCAGGAATTTTTTTTGTTTATCTTTCTTTTCTGAGTACCTATAAATTGAAGGACAATACAGTTGAACGGATAATCCGTTTTACTTTTAGTTCTTCTCCGTAGAAGATAGATGTAATTAAATGGTAGCTGTGGTAATAATATATTGTCGATAAATTAAGTACTTAATTTTTCATTACTCTAGATTGTTTTTGTTTAAGGGCACCCGATATTGTACGGAAAAATCTGGTAGACTGGAATGGATTGTTTTCACTTTCTTTGTAGCAACAGATTTAAAAAATAATAGATAAAACTTTGCGTAGTACAACTTCATTTAGACATTAATAACGTTCTGATTCGAACATTAATTTTTTCTTTATTTCAAAGGAGCCACGATTTTGACGGATGCGTTCGTAGAGCTGAGGAGTTGTGGCACCAACACATGACACTATTAAAGAGTTTTGATTTTTGAAAAGGAATTTACTATGGTATTGTTATTTCTTTTCTTTGCTATATAAACCATTCACTTGATCGATGTAAAAATATTGCAATAAATACTGAATCTTAATAACTTTTGTATGTATATTTATATGTAGAGACAACTTTTGTCAAAGTTCATTTCCTTCGGCATCAATGCTGTCGCTCATTTGTGTTTGGCTTGTACGGCACTGCTACGTTTTTTTACGCCAATATTGTTTTCTTTTGGTATCAATGCTGTTGCTCAGCTGTGTTCTGTTCCATGGAACACATTATCAATCACCTATTGGCTGGTCACCAAAACTTAAAAGCCACGACTATGTTGAATAAAGGGAAAATGAGTAAAATCTGGACTCTCTTTCTTGAATTGCCTATGTTGTTAACCAGTTTTTTGACCAGTTTTGAATGAACGTTTGATCAAAATATCTAGTTCCTTACCCTGTTTTAACTAGCAAAGGAGAAAATGAAGAAGACCTGTGGAAAAAACATTTTTCCTGCATAAAAACCTAATCTGATTTGAAGGGAAAATGAAATTTAACAAGTGCATTTATATTCTACAAAAAATTCAATATTTCTATGAATTTCCATAAGAATCCCTAGTTTCTTTTAATCCTAACTTTTCTCTAAAAACAGTGTAAAAACCTTTTTCTACTCTACTTACTCAGTAAATTTATAACGAGACATCGCATTTTTGATTTTAGTTTGAAGACAAGTACGTGCTGGGAAAGTTTCAGCTAGTAAAAACTAACAAGTATGAAAAACATCTGATTTGTGATCCCATGATTACATTTTTGTCAACAAAACAAATTTCATTTAAACTGCAATGATAGTAACATTTGAAAATGAATTATATATTATCAATTTAAGAGCCCAAATATAGTTTTGCTTGAGTAAATTTAATTGTATTAACGATTGAATTTAATAGTCGAGGTACTCATTGAGGTACTCATATTAATCAGCGGAGTGGAATCATCGCCCTATACCACGTTGATGAATTAAAAGTTAAGAATGTTAGAATTAGAAGAAATTGTTTTAGTACAACGCAAATTGATTTTGGATTCTTTAAATTTGCGGAAAATCAGTGTCGACCGAATTCCGCAAAACATTGCGAAGCACAAATTTAATCATCTGAAGTTAATATTTCCGGCTTAAAAATATATGCGTCAAATTTTTGCAAAGCAAGTTGAACATGAATCTTCGCCGTTTTACATATTGGTATCTTTATCGTAATATCGGATATAAAGCATGTAGAATTATTTAAATACATTAAATTTTGTATACAACTTACAAATTAAAAATTATATATAATTGCCAATTTTATTGAAATACTTAGAAAAAAAATCAGAAAACTATACTGTAAAATAAACGGATTCAAATTTAACCGCCAAAAGAAGATTTTCGATATATCGTTGTGAAATAGGCTTATTTTCTAAAATTTAAAATAAATACAGAAGCTTATCATTGACTACTTCAAATTAATAATTTGCTTAAATATTTTGCTTCTGGCGGCACCTTATTGGTATTTAAAAAGGTTTAAGAACATACCTTTCGTATCAGCTATCTAATAGCATATGTACATATGTATATATATGTTAAAACAAATCTAAAGCAATTTTTACCTGTAGAATTTAATTCCTTTTGAATAGGTTTCCACTGGCGATAAGAGAGAAGTTGTGGGTCTACACCAACATTACTGCCTTTGGGTATATTTCCTGAGATCCATTTGCCTATAGAAGGAGTTGTGGGCAAACCATCCTTCATCAGCTCCCAATTTGAATCCATTTGGGCCTCCGCCTGCTGATAGTATCTCCCGTCTGTCCACATTAAGGCTCGATTTTCTGTAACAACAGCGGTACCCGCAGAGCCATCAAAACCACTAACATAAGCTCTTCTCGCATCATGTTTTGAAATATATTCATTTTGATGAGCATCTTCGCTGGGAATAATATATGCTTCCAGCGGGGGATCTTGGCTCTTCATAAGAAGACGTAAGTTCACTAGGACATGCGCACTTTTCAACATTTTAATAAACGTTTCAATCAAACTATTCCTATTAGAGTGACCTCACAACAAAGAAAACTGAACTTATAACAAAGAAAACGGTATAATATTATCCACTGATTGTTAACCAACAATGTTTTAGATAATATAGTATTCAGATAAGCAATATCAAATATTGATATTGAAAACCATAATGCTAAAGTTAGTTACAAACGTATTACCGGAAAGATGTTGCCCACTATTGAAAATTAAGTATAAGGGGACTTTGATTGTTTAACATATACATCTACAATTTTACCTTTCTAATATTAGTTTTTGGTAACTTCCATTTTAAATTGGTGAAAATACCAAACACAAGTGTGAGGGAGAAGGAGCGACAGATGTTCAAAGCTCTTTCTGGAGCGCGAGTATCGTTTGTTCTGTTATTTGTCATTACATGCAAGAAATTTTCAGAGCTGAATACGTGTAATTGATGAGGTATACAAGTTAGCGGTCAACACAGCGCTTTCCACTTTTAAAGTGAACTCGTTAGTGCCAACAGCTGTGTGAAATAAAAATGGTAGTATTAGAGTTTAAAATAAGCCGTGGGGTTTTTCTAATTCAGTAACGAAAACATAAAAAAATTTGCCCAAAATTGAGGCGAAAAATTAATTTCTGCGATCAGCTGAAAGCGTCCTTTGCTAGAGATGTACCCAAGCACTTAAAAATCCCTAAAAGGTAGCCCAAATTTGGCGGATGCTATTGTTACGATTTTACAAAATCAACCTCGATTATTTTCTAAATCCTTCGGGTACGATCTCTGGATTGTTAAATAAAAACTCGCCAATTCAATTTGCAGTATCTTTCGTTATAAAGAATTAATCTAATGTCCTTTATTTACTCCGTAATTCACAATTCAATTATAAGACACTTTACTAGCTACAATCACTTGCATCAACTTTCACAATAAACGCGTTTACTTTACGACTTAACTGATGTCAACGCCAACGAGCCCACTTTATCACTAACTTGACTTGCAGCTGAGTGCCGCCTTTATATAGCAGTCGGCTGCTCGCAGACGAAAGCGTAGAAGCATCGAATTGTTCGCTATGGAAGGTTCTTGTTTTATCGTTTCTAGAACGTACTAGTTATCTGTTTCTCTCTTTTATCTGACATTCGCCTCGCATTTTCGCAACACTATGAATTATATGATAAATGCCATGTTAGCGCAGTCCAACAGCAAACTAACAACAACCGATCACAAAATTAGAATTATTTTTTCATTTTATAATCAGTTTTTATTTGTAACAATTATGTACCAGTAAACATTTGAATATGAACTTAAACGCATTAATTTTTTTCAATGCTTATAATTTTTTTAAACTTATTGTAGTAATTCAATTTGTTTACATTTATTGAAATTGTTGAAGTTATTTATAACACAAAATTATTATTTAACTTATATTTGTTATGATAACATAGGATAGTTAACTTAAATATGAACATGAAGTGAGTTTATTTAAACAATTTTGTCTAAATATTTGTATTCAAAATTTATTTTGTTTTAGCAATTATGAATTTTTACACGCTTTATACCCATCCAACGTTGAAGATACCAATATGAAGGTCCTTTAAAAAATTTTGCACTTAGATTTTCAATAAAGATGGCTGGAATGCGAAAATGAGTTTGAAATTCTTTTTCGTGTAATTCGGCTATATTAACTCATAGAATTTATTCGATTCTGTTTAAATAAAAACCAGCCAAAGACGTCTGCGTCTCGTGCGTCCCCGGCGCCTAGATCAGTGCAGCATAGTTTACGATTGGCCGGTCAATTGCTTTGGATGTTATCAGCAAAATTTCTTTGTCTTAACCCCAGATGCTACCGGCTAGCGCTTTGAGTATTTTATTGCGGCTCTGAAGGTTTGCAGCAATTGCGGTCGCATGTGGGGTGAAGGAGTGCAGGCTATTTAGTGTGACTCCCAATATCTTTGGGCTGTTTATAGTCGAAATTTTTTAGTCATCGACCTTCACATCTAATTCAATCCTGTATTCCTTCGTCCAGCTGGTGAAGAGGATAGCTGAGGATTTGTTGTCGTGCAGAGAAGGAATAAGAAAGATCGGTAACAGTTCACTTTCTGTGGAGAAGGCAGTTTCGATATGTAAAAATTAAACAGAGAGGACACCACTCTACGGAACTCCCTGTTTAATTTTCATGAGTTTCGATGTTTCACCTCGGAATATTACCGCTGACTGTCGACCACTCAGGCAGCACATGACCCACCTCTGCAGAACTGAAAAGCTTTTGACAGATACAGTGCTACCAGGCTGGTTCGCGCCCAGGTTCGGTTTTTTAAGGCCTTTGGCTATCCAGGTGCTTATGGCCCTTATGGTAGCCATGCTGATGTGCTGTTGGACGCAGATGGTGAATGAAAGTCAGGAGCAGCAAGCAAATGTCTTCGCGACTGGGGAGAGCAGAGTCATCCGCCGATAGGACTCTCCTTTGTTGGCTGGTTTTCCCGGATGAGTAGCAGGACCTCCCTGCCCGTATTCTACACGTCAGGTATCATTGGGGTGGTCAAAGACAAGTTGAGAACCTTGGTGAGGAAGTCTGCTCCCCCTGGTCCAAGAAGTTTTAGCACAATACACTTATTCCGTTGGGCTGATGAATTTGGAGGCTTTCGCCTTTTCGATGACCCCCTAAACCTCTTCTCTGGAGAAATCAAGCACCGGTGTTGGCGGGTCACATCTCTTCGGGTCCGACGAGGTGCGATCTCCGAGTGAAGTTTCCGCTCGGTAGCCCAGTGCTTGGCTGGCCTTAAGACTTAAGTGCTCTTTCTACTTTTTCCGCTTGCGATTGTTTGCAACTTTGCCAAGCTCCTTGCTTAAATCCCTGATTGCGGGATTGACGGTATCGGTGTTACGAAGGGTATCGCGCTGTTTTGCTAAAACTACCGCTTCCGTCTTAAAATTAGGGCGGACTTTCCTGAACGGCGTCCAGTCAGTCTTTTATCTGTTCCTGTACGTAGCGATCAATGGAGTTCTCATGGAAAGAATAAAATATGTATATAGACTACGGCGGCGCCCCTTGTCACAGCAGGTCACCGTTACTCCCGGAGGTGGACCGGTGTCCGGGAGGCTTCGTTCGAATACAGTCGGGCGCCCCTGACTGTAAACCATTCAATGGGAACGGAAACTCATGGCAGCCTAGATTAGGGGGGAAGGGTATGTTCGACAACCTCCAGGTCTAGACCCGTAGTGTTTAGTTAGTCTACCAGGGTCACCTCCGGAAATATGCGCACTAACGGTCTTGGTACGAGAGAGGTTAGTTGCTGCTCAGTTGGCAGATGTATTACACTTCAACGTACCCTGCACTTAGCTTGACCCCCTTTCTTTCCAACCAATCGTCAAAATTGCGCTCTACCTTTACTAATTTTTACTGAGTTTTTGGTTCATGTGATCAACGAACAAAACTATTAACTGCTGCTGTGTTTGCATATGCGTCGAAGGTTCTTGAAACGTGCGTATTTCCGACACAATATTGATATGAGCCATTGGATAGAAAATTCAATGCTGAAACGGCCTACAAGCACATACATGAATTTTATTTCAGTTATTGTTTCAAAAAGTTTAGAATTCAACTTATGCGTTGCTCAACTGCTTTAATTTCCCAGTATAATGATTTTGGCTGCCGAATGAAACTCCTAAATACGTCCTATTTGATTGTTTCTTTTTCATTTATAGAATATTACCGTTCATCACTATAATTTTTTTGCAAAATTCCTTGCAGCCATTTCCTCTTTCATAATTTTATTTTATACGGCAATGTTGTGCTAAGGAAAAAATTAAGAACATAACGACTGATACTATTGTAGCCGATATTAGGAACTTGATAGATATAACAACTGTGAGAAATGCAGAGAAAGGAGAAAAGTTCGAATGGCTGGGTCGGCAAGTATGTCAGCAAATGGAGGAGGTAAGTGAGGAATATCAGCCACATCCTTTTCGTCCACACTGCCTCCAACACCATCAAGGGATATTCTGCAGGAATCGATGCAGAGTATTTTTACCGGTGAAAATTTCGATATTTTGTAACGATTGGAGAATGTTTAATTAATTTTTTATATACATAAATATGTATGCGATCTCAAAAGTTTTAATTTGAAAAACTTTACTGTATGAAATTATTTATATAAAAGTTATGTAATGGATTACAGATTAAGTTGGTTTTGTTGAATTTTTATATTTGTTCCTTTAAATTTGGAAATTGCCATTTTATCGTGAATTCTTTTGCTCTAACTTTCCGTTCCGCAGAGTTGCTTGGCATCTTTAAATTAAAAATACATTCAAAGTCTATGTTCAGAAAAGACAAACAAATTTACTTGCTCAAAGCTATAACTCTTTCAATTGATAGACGAGTTTGGTAATTTACACTTACAAACTAATCACCTGGAATAAAACAAAATGTAATATAAATGCACAATTTTTTTCTAATCTCAAAGGACCCACCAAATGCAAGAAAGGCTACGGTTAACTTGGCAGCTGCGGAAATCGATTTTATTCGCAAAGAACTGCACCGCTCGCTTTGTGGGTTAACCAAAATTTAATGAAAATTCAAATTGACTTTTGGCCGGTCTTAAATAATTTTTAAATAACCCTGGATGCATAGGCAGAAGTTCCTTGAATTTGTATCCGATAAGGAAGTAGCTTCTTAAAACAAATTAGTCCATGAATTTACAAAAATTTTAAAATTCGATCAATTACCCATAATAATCTCGTCATGCTATAAAAGTTGAAGAATGTGAAATCAAATTGAAAACACAAAATAGAATGCAAAAAAATTGCTTTCATAACTTGACGCCTGTGAAACGGGAGTTACCGAAGCCGGCGCTACAATCACGGCGGTAAGAAGCTGGTGGTATTGACTTAAGCCAATATTAACTCTGTCGTGAAGTCGAAGATATATAAACGAAGGATGTAGAGAGGGAGAACTGTATTTAGTATGTGAAGGATTTGCAGCAACCGCGGCAGCCGAGAGGTAAGCATTGCATACTGAGTAAATAAAGGGCATTAGATAAATTCTTTATAACGAAAGAAACTGCAAATTAAGTTGGCGAGTTTTTATTTAACAATCCAGAGATCGTACCCGAAGGATTCAGGAAATCATCGAGGTTGATTTAGTAAAATCGTAACAATACATTCGATGAGTATCTTCTACAACGAAGCATACGTGCAGAAACCATCAACGAAGATTGAAGAAAAGGCT